AGCCTGAAAGATATTCCTTAGAGCTGCAGTATCTTAACATAGCATCTTCTGACATAAACAGAATAATTCCCTCCTGCATCCAAATCCGTTTCCTTGCCTCTTTGGGACCTGCTCTGCTCCACACCGGTTTGCCAGGAGGCAGATGACTTGCTTCTGCCTCCTGAACTTCCTTGGATTCCATTTCCTGGCCCTGGCTGGACTTGGAACCACCTTACTAACTCAAGCATCTCCAGCATCTGCTCCCAGCAAACAGGAGTTCTGTCCTGGTCTTAGTACATTTAAAATACTTTACTAGACTTGATACCTCCTCCTCCTAGATAGTGCCAGGTTCTTAAACATCTGGGGACACCTTTCAACTTTCCATTTTCTCTGCAGCAGATGACAGAATCTCATATACAGACAGAGGCCACATCAACCTCAGAAACAATCCAAACTGCAGACTCCACAGCTCCAACCTTCCTGGAAGCCTTGATTTATCTTTTTTATCCAGTCCTCAACAGCATCTTTCCAAAACTGCACTACCTGCTCTCTATCATTCAACTATGCCTGGTACCACTTACCTAAACTCTTTACCGATTTTACCCTCCCATTTCGATATTCTTTGTTCATCTGTTACAAACGTCTCATCACTTAATTTGCCTATACTGATTTAAATGCTTTTGGACTTTATTTTCAGTCAATTTTCATCCAGTTCCGACCTGAGTGTCTCTAGTATGCAGTTTGGACTCCTCAGTCCAGCAGAAACATGTTTCACTCCTGAATCCTCCAGCTGGTTGTTGCTCAGGTCCAGATGTGTCAGACTTGAGGACTGGGAGCTGAGAACTGAGGACAGAGCTTCAAAGCTTCTCTCTGAGAGGTTACAGCCACTGAGTCTGAGAAAGGAAAAAATACATGGATCACATCATCAATCAGTCAAACAGCTTTAGTGGAGTTCTGTTTTTTTCTGTTCATGAAAATAATGTTAAGAAAAATCACTGAATTAAAAAAAAGCAGAAAAATGTTCTATATTAAAAAATTCAAAGACCAACCACAAAACTAAACACACTGAAGACATGTAGTTGTTGTGACAGTCTGAGGAGGAAACACCAGATACAAAGGAAACATTTCTGTAGACTGCATGGAGCAGACCGGATATCTCCTGAACATCACTTTAGAAAAAGTTGTAGCCTATTCGTTTTGTGCTGTGTTCACATCTGGATGAGAACATGGACAGGAAGCAGGACTTGGAGCTCTAACCTGGAATCAACTACAGAGATTTGTTTGATAAACCATGTGAAGATTTTCTGCCCATGCTGTTAAAAAAACATAAAACTCAGAAACACTATATAAATCAGTGCTCAGAGAAAATGGGAGCTCATTAATATGACATCTGTAAGATTCTTTTGAATTTATAATTCAACTGCAGTTTCCATGAAACTGAGTTTGACTGTGACTCTGCTGTTTGTCTCCAGCTAATAAGTGACCACTTCAAAAATAATTCAATCTGTATGTGTACTCACAGAGCTTTCTTTGAGGCTTTGACCACTGGCAGCAGCCTCAAAAGAGCCTCCTCTGAAGCAGAATATTTCTTCAGATCAAACTCATCCAGATCTTCCTCTGATGACAGTAAGATGAAGACCAGAGCTGACCACTGAGCAGGAGACAGTTTATGTGTGGAGAGACTTCCTGAACTCAGGAACTGTTGGATCTCCTCCACCAGAGAACCATCATTCAGTTCATTCAGACAGTGGAACAGGTTGATGCTTCTCTCTGCAGAAACATCCTCACTGAGCTTCTTCTTTACGTACTGAACTGTTTTCTGATTGGTCTGTGAGCTACTTCCTGTCTGAGTCAGCAGACCTCGTAGGAGCCTCTGATTGGTCTGCAGAGAAAGACCCAGGAGGAAGCGGAGGAACAGGTCCAGACGTCCATTTGGACTTTGTAAGGCCATCTTCACAGCCCTTTGATGGAGCTGTTTTAGCTTTGGTTTCTTCAAAAATCTTTTGAAGGCCCAATGTCGATCTTTCATCAGGTTGATTCCAGACCTGCTGAAGGTCAGATGGACGTGCAGAGCAGCCAGAAACTCCTGTACACTCAGATGGATGAAGCAGAACACCCTGTCTTGGTACAGTCCTCTCTCCTCCACAAAGACCTGTGTGAACACTCCTGAGTACACTGAGGCTGCTGAGATATCGATGCCACACTCTGTCAGGTCTGATTCATAGAAGATCAGGTTTCCTTTTTGCAGCTGATCAAAAGCCAGTTTTCCCAGAGACTCCACCATCTTCCTGCTCTCTGGACTCCAGTGTGGATCTGTCTCAGCTCCTCCATCATATCTGACCCTCTTCACCTTGGCCTGGACTACCAGGAAGTGGATGTACATCTCTGTCAGGCTCTTGGGCATCTGTCCTCCCTCTCTTCTTCTCAGTAAGTCCTCCAAAACTCCAGCAGAGATCCAGCAGAAGACTGGGATGTGGCACATGATGTAGAGGCTCCGGCAGCTCTTAAAGTGGGAGATAATGCTGCTGGCCTGCTCCTCATCTCTGAATTTCTTCCTGAAGTACTCCTCCTTCTGGGGGTCAGTGAAGCCTCTGACCTCTGTCACAATGCTAACACAGTAAGCAGGGATCTGATTGGCTGCTGCGGGCCGTGTGGTTATCCAGAGTCGAGCAGAGGGAATCAGATTCCCCCTGATGAGGTTTGTCAGCAGCACATCCACTGAACTGGACTCTGTGACATCGGTCAGGTATTCTTTGTTGTGAAAGTCCAGAGGAAGTCGACACTCATCCAAACCGTCAAAGATGAACACAACCTTGAACTCTGCAAAGCTGCAGATTCCTGCTTCTTTGCTTTCTGGAAAGAAGTAATGAATAAGTTCCACCAAGCTGAAATGTTTCCCTCTTAACACATTCAACTCTCTGAAGGTAAATGGAAACAGGAAGAGGATGTCTTGGTTGGCTTTGCCTTCAGCCCATTCCAGAGTAAACTTTTTTGTCAGGACTGTTTTCCCAATGCCAGCCACTCCCTTTGTCAGCACTGCTCTGATTGGTTGGTCTCTTCCAGGTGGGACTTTAAAGAGGTCTTCTTGTCTGATGGTAATTTCTGGTCTGTGTGCTTTCCTGTATGCTGCTTCAATCTGTCTGACCTCATGTTCCTCATTAAGTTCTCCAGCCCCTCCCTCTGTGATATAGAGCTCTGTGTAGATCTGATTCAGAAGGGTTGGGCATCCTGCTTTAGAAATGCCCTCAAACACACACTGGAACTTCTCCTTCAGAGCAGATTTATGTTTGAACTGGAATTCCAAATAAAACTCTGAATGAAAAAAATAACACAGAAGATTAGTTTTATTTACTGGAACAACTTAAAAGGTCTCACAGAAATAGCATTCCAAAAATCAAGAATTTCTCTAAAATAGGAAGACATGAAGGGCCTCTTGAGTTTTGTATTATTATTATTATTATTATTATTATTATTATTATTATTATTATTA